TGTAAAATAAAATTATATAGGTACTTCTGTAACTTTTTTTGGAAATATAATATAAAGGTCATGCAAATAAATATATAAAAATAAATTGCATAGACAGAACAAATGATAATAAAGTACACGTTAGTTAAATGGGAAAAAGTAGTTTTGTAGCAATCCTGTAAAATAAAAATTAGAAAATATACTTTATAAAATTTAAAATAACACTCAAAACTATTAATAAACAACCAAATGGTTGCAAATTATTAATCCAATATCTTTCCTATTACCCTGTATAATACATAAGTATTCAGCTGGCTAAGAGAGGTTAAAGTCTCATAGGCCACTTGGGGAAGAGGAAAAAGAATAATAAAAATACAGGTTATGTCCATTATTTATAAATAAAAATAATCGCGTCTATTGTTTACGTATTAATTCCACATCAATGTAAAGCTAATTTCTGCTACAAATGATGGTGAAAACACCTATGAAAGTATCAGGTATATTTTAACATTAATAAGCACATATAAGAACAATGATCAATCAACTTTTAGAAATACTGATCACCCCGTTGCCTTCTTCATCATCCCCTAATCCTAATCGTGACCCGAAGGCTGCACAAGAAATAGTCACTACTTACTTAAATAATGTACTGCCCACTCAAGATAAGAAGAATCTTGGCTCTGACATAAAATGGTATTTTATGCTTGATAAGACTACACACAAAAAGAATAAACCTATTAGGAAAAAGAAAAGCTATTTGACTAGGAAAGAAAGAAAAGAATTAAATCTACTACGATTGCCCAAAGAAGACTGGGACTACAAACAATTGGAGCCATTACGAAATTTATGGAAACAATACATAAAAGAAGTATTGGGGTACAATGAAAAACTTCCAAATTATACAGATCCTCATTGGACAATATTTAGTTCATCATTAATGAAATCTGAGTTTGTGGGAGCTGAAATAAAAGTTATCAGATCAAATGTTCCTAGTTTGGTTGATCTCAGTGGAACAATTGTTTTAGAAACTAAGGCTACATTCCAAATTGTTACACCAAGCAATAAATTAAAGAGTAAGTAATAAAAATAATGGTGACTAATATCTGTAATATTGCTTTATTTTCAGTAATCTTGAAAGCTCCTTGTATATTTGAAATTTCCCTTGATGTTGGAAGAATATCATTTATGGGAAATTCGTTAATTACAAAACCAAGTGAAAGAAGTGCAAAGAAAATTAAAAATAGTACACTTCCAGACTTGTAATTGTGTATAAAATGAATAAAATTTAAAATACTGTTACTGCAATAATAAAACTTGTTTTATGAGAAAGATCAGCGAGTACTGCATTATTAGTATAAGAAATATGAAAAATCATTTGCACTACTTTATCATTATCCTATATTTAATAATGAGTATCCATATAAACTTCAAACGTTCTAAAAAGAAAAAAGATAAGCAAATATTAAACTGAATTTTACAAAATGACTTACTTTTTTAATGTATTTTTTTGAAATGCTTAATAAGTCTTAAAAAACTCACGTTAAACAGAAATTACGGCAGTTTCAAGTCAGACACAATTATTTTTGTTTGCATTATAATAAACAAAAAGCAATGACAATCGCCTTCTTATCTTATTTATGTTTGCAAGATATGATGTGTAGGTGTTTCAAACAAGCAAAGAATGAGCCTAAAAGGATTATCTTAGGGATAGAGTGAATAAAGTGTTAGCTCGAACTATTCAAGCAAACATAATACCTACAAAATTTTAAATTAATGTTAGTGCAAAAGCATCAAATGCAAGCTTGCATACACTGTATTTCAAATTAGTAAAAGCTGAATGATCAATTAAGATATTGTGTATATGGAAACTTTCCTGAGTATGTTTAGTGTATCAACGGTGAACTTCTAAAAAAATGTGTTCCAAATGACCCAGGGGAAGCTCCCTTCTAGTTAATTTAATCAAAACAACAAAACGTCTCCTCCTGCAGTAAATAACGTAAAATATACAACAATGTAAATCTCAATTAATAGTCCTTTATTTCCTTGGTTTTAATATAATAATGTTTCATTATAACTAAACGAACAGCATTTGCAACGTTACAAAACACGTTGCTAATGCAACATACATATAACCAGGCAACAATCGATTTATTATTAATAATTATAATAATAATAATAATATCTAAACAAGTACGGGTCTAAAGTTACAGGCGCTTTACAACTTCTCAAAAGAAAATAAAACAAAAAAACTACACACCGGGATTTAATTAATCGCCCTTCCAATAAATTTTTTTATATAAGGATTAGTTTTGTGTTATATGATGGGAATGATACGCAGAACAGACGAGCATTAAATTAATTATTATTAGTGTTCACTAAAAAGAAAATTAATTCCATTCTGCCAATTTGTACTTGAAAACCAACGTATAAAAATGGAAAGGAATTATTATTCCGTAATAATTCAAATAGTACAAACAGGAGTAATTACTGAAACTCAAGAGATAAACTTTTCGAAATCCAAAAAGAAAAATTTTTAGTCACCCTGGGACGCTCGAGTCATTTAAAGAGGCCACCCTTTTATGTACATCTTGCTTTTGACAGACTAATATTTATCATATTTATATTACTATTTATTTACAGTGCAACGAAACACCCACCTGTTAAAGAGAATCAGACAAACAATGACAATAACAGTAGTGGTAGTAGCAATAATGGTGCAGCAAAAATATAATAACTAAAAGAATAATAAATATACGTACATATTAAAAATAATAAGAAAAAGAATATAAATCACGTTCAAATATTATTAATAGCAGTTTTTCCTTTTTACGAGGGAAAAATGGACGAAAAATAGTTAATAAATTTCCATATAATTAGGTATGACAGTAATTAATTACAATAATAATTATTATATATCTCAGGTAGTGTATATGTATTTATATACACTTATATATATGTAAATTTTAAAAAAATATGCAGGACTTCTACTTAATGTTAACGGATTTCAATCAGGAATAGTAGTGGTGATATTAGCAGCGTCAAAAATAGCAGCTAAAGTACATATACAGTTAATCATCAATTATATTGTTATTTATTAGTGTTGTATGATTTTGGATACGAGGGTATTTTTAATATTTAATTTCCTAAAGGTCTCGTGATAATACGACAAATCGATGAACACATCCAAAAACAGCATGTGTTATAGTTTGAAAACGAACGAAAAAAAAAAAGGAACAATGTGTATAAAGAAGCGATATTCAACTGGATTAAAAGGAAATTGACTAACATACTTACATTAAAATCAAGTATGTTGCAAATGGACTATAAAAATGACGGGGAAAGGACTTAAGACTTACTTAAATACGGACGATACAATAACTGACCCAAAAGCGGGAAGAGAGAAAAAGTGTTTAATTACATGTCCATACTCGCATCCTATTTTTAAGAACAGAAAACTTACTAAATCAGATTGGGGAAGAATGGAAAAACATAATATGGACAGTATATAGGGTGGTGGTAAACGTTAGAATGGCTGATATAGAAAAATCTGCAACCAAATATAACTAGCTGATTGAATAAGACGATGGTTTCTTTACCGAAAACAAAAGTAGACGCGCGTTTGTAAAACACAAATTCATTCGGGATTTCGCCCGTTTCATTTTATTTTTTTTTTTTTTACTGCCACTTGCTATAGGCTTGACGGCACGTCTCGAAGACGCCAGTATACTCCTACATGCCGTAACCCTGGTACGGCATCTGGGGGGCATAAGCAGCTTGGGGTGCATACGCCTGGGGGGGAACATATTGTTGAGGTGGAATACCTATCGAAAATAAAAAGAATATGTTTAACAAATCTTCTCTAAGGACTTGTTACATTGTACTGTAATCTTGATTGGGTGTATTAATACAATTTTTTATTTTAAATGGCACTTACATACATATGTAAGCATGTATGAGATTAATTATACGAAATGGGACATTTGTTGCATCTTTTAATAATTCTTTTGAAGTTTGTTACAACTTTTCAATGCACTAAAAGCATTTATATTTTTCTCTACTTACTCATCATAAGTAGTTTTTAATAACTGAATTATAATTTATAAAAGTACTATCGTATGCATTTATTTATATTAAACAATTCACAACTAAAATTTTCTGATTTACTTTAATTGTGGTCAAATCCTTTTTGTATACATGACAAAACATACGTACGTCGTTTCCGACCATGATTTGGTATTTAGAAAAATAGGAAAAGGAATAATTTTTATTTTAAATAGAGTGCATAAGACTTACCCATTCCAGGTCCAGCTGTCAACATTAGCTGCGGCTCGGGCATGATCATGGGTTTGTGTGTTTCTTCGGCTGATTCTGTTTGCCTCTGGGTTTCAGCTTGTTCCAGTTTTTCGATCTTTGTGGTCATTTCACGTGTCACTTGAATAAGATACGGCATGGCAAAGTCCATGATCTTGTGTCTCCACGCTAGTTCCAATATAACGTCAGGTTTCAATAGATCGTAACACTAAAAAAAATAAGATTATAATTAATTAAAATAATACAGTTTTATTTAAATAAGCAGTTACACATTTAAAACCTGAAACATAAAAATTAATTTTTAATTACCTGATAAAGACACGCTCCAAAACAGTCGTAGGCTTCTCTCTCAAGGAACCAGGCGAGAAGTTCTTCAGCCAGTTCAGGATTTTTCGATTCTGCTGTGTATTCCATTGCGTCCCTAAATAATCTGTCCTTTTTGCACAGTTCGACACTCTGCTTCCACCGGTTGTTCCCTTTGTATAAATAGGCAGCTATACGTCTGAACTCTGTAAGTTCATGTTTTTCCAAGCTCTGCGCCAGGCCGATATTGTCGAAATTGTCGAAAGCGTCGATTGACGTCCTTAAACCCTGTAAGATAAAGAAATAAATTCATTAATTACTTTTACATATGCGTGCACCTGCAGAGGTGCACAAATGCACCCCTGTATGCAGCCCTTAATACTAAACTTACAAAAAATACCAAACTATTTGTTAGTAATTTAAAATTATTATTTTTTATTAGTTACCTGATAATCTTCTTCTTCGATCAACAATGAATTGAGAGCTTCATTTATAGCTTTGTTATTTAAACTTTGTACAGAACGCAAATAAGATTTAACTAGTTGAAGGTGGCCAGTTTTCGTAAAGAATGCTACAGCCCTAAAATGCAAAATGTGTAAATGAAGTAAATTTACAAGGCAATGCTAATTTTACAATATAAAAAAACATTTTATTTTAATGTTACCTCGTATGGTCCATTCGTGGAGCCAAAACTAGAAGAAGGTCGTTTAAAAGCAGAGGTTTAAAATCAAGATAAAATTGTATAGCTTTGTAGTAAAGTTCAATGTTGGCTACTTTGGTTATGATATCTTTAAAATGGCCCTCTCGCCACGCCTCCGTTGGATGAGCCATCATTGCCAGAACGGCGTTATCGTATTCTTCGTATTTATCATATAAGAATACCAACTCTGCCCACAAGTGTGCATGCTCGGCAGCTCTAAGTACCTAATGGAAAATATCATAAATAATCACACGTTTATAGATAACATATTTTTTTCTAAATAGTAAATTAATCTCAATTGAAAAGGAAACTAATAATTTAAAATTAGAAATTAAAAAACATTCCTACAAATAAATAATGAATATTACCACATAAAACTACAATTTATAATATTAATCTTTTATATTTTTTTTTGAAATTTCTATTGATAGTTAAAATTCCATGTTTCATATTTCTTTTAAATAAAAACATCTTTTTTTATATCTTGTACAACCATATTTTTTTTAAAGTAAGTTTTATTAAATACCTTTGGAATGTTAACTCTGGACCAAAACAATTCCAGATGTTCCCTCATTTTTGCGGGCTTGTACTTCGAGTATAGAATGGCGAGTTCAGTAAACATGCCCATGTGCGCTCGCTCTAAACCGAGAGCAGCTTCAAGAAGTCCAATCAGTTCTTCAAAATAACCCCGGTCCTGGTAATAATTAATAAGGTCTTGAAGTTCGTCGGCATGGACTACAATATGCATACCGCACATCTGTGCAAGTCGAAACTCCTCGGCGTCCACGCATGCGAAACAAACTTCTTTCCACGTGCGAGTGCTGTTTGCCTTACGCGCCGAATCTACAGCTCCCTATTAACACAAAACAAATCACCATAACAAGAAATTAAGAGGCACAAAGAGAAAAGAATGGTTCCCAAGAGACGTTAAAGACGTTTATGTACCTGGAATTCCTTGAGATGTACTAAAGTGATAGCCAGTCTTGCAAAGTTTGAAACGTTGTTATACAAAAGTTTAGCAGCATCATACATTTTGTCATCGAAACAGCGATCTCCAATCTTTTGGATGTCTGCATGATTGGGACCACTTATGAACTCTTCTAGGTCTGCTAAACGACCAGTCTTGGCATACGCATAAATCAGTTCTGATTCTATATAACTCTCCCTTGCCTTCTTGCGAGCCATTTGAAGATATCTGTTAAGTAAAAAAAAAATTAAAAACCGAATATTTACCGAAGGAAGTACAAACACAATCACATGGTTAATTTTGACATTTAACAATTGTCAATAACCATAAAATGTGACAAAAAATATGCATAGCTGAAATTTTTATTTTTTATAGTTTTTATAAAACCATGACTGACTCCAATAGATTAAGTAATGCTAAAAGAATACATTGCTACAGAAATATGTTAATGTTAATATTAACGATACACAAAACATATCATTTATAAAATTTATTGCTAGAAGTTGAAATTAAAATTAATTATATCTGTTTGGTATTGAAATGACTTGGGACAAGCTTTAACTTTTGAATATTACGTATAAAAAAAAATGAGTGCTGTCAGCACAGGGCAAAGTAGTATTAGTTAGTATCAGCAATTTCTTATGCTGAAGTGTACGATGTGTCGCATACCTATTTACAAACAATTCCTTTAAATTTCAATAATTGATTACTATACATCTATTAAAAAACTATAATGGCCGACATCAGTGACAATGCGACAACAATTGAAAAAAAAATAATGGCCGACAACTGCAACAATTAAAAAAGAATGATGGCCGACACTACGTCATAGTGGTGAAATAAAACTGGTCGGGGGCAGGAGGAAGAACTAGTTTTAAATAAAACAAACAAAAAAAAAATAACATACCTAACTAAATCTTCCCATGAATTGTTCTTAGAAGCTGTTTCAACGACGCTCATGTATGCACTTGGATCGTCCGCTTTGATATAAGAATCGATGGCTTCTTTGACGAGTCCTTGGCTGAGTTGAGCTTTGGCTAGTTGACTCCAAACGGGGGGTTCATTGCAACGTTCAGCAAATTCGTATGCACGATCTAAATTGTTAACGTTCTCGATGAGTACTTGGATGGCAGACGTGTTTACATCGAACTTCTTGAAAATTGCAAACGCTTCTTCGTACAGGTGGTTGTTGATGGCAATGTTTGCAATATCGGGAGCGTCGTAGTTGTCCAAACGGTTGATGTAGTCCATAACCCTGGTTGTATCCGCTTTGATAGCTATAAAAGAAAACAAGAAAACATAATTATTCCCTCCTCATTTATGCATTAGTAGGTTTTAAAAGTTCGTAATTAATTACTTCGCAAACAACATTTAAGTATGATAAAATTTGAAAACAAAAAAAATTCACCAGTTAAAATAAGTAGATTCTGTAAATTCCTGTGATCAGAGAAAACTGAATTATCAAGTACAATCTTCTCCAATAGTTCAATAAGTTCATTAGGCAAATCAGCTGACATGAATGCCTTGACAGTAACAGAAATATCTTCAGGATCTTGGGTCTCATTAAGTGCCGTTTGAACGACTTGATCGATTAGTTGTCTCCTGTAGGGGTTGTTCTCGTTTAAAACTTCAACCCATAATTCCGCATCCCGCCTTTTAACCAAATAACGGGCTTCCGATTTAAAGAGGGAGTTTTCGTTACACACAGCGATTAATTCGCGATCGCACTGGCCCCTTTCGTAAGCCACGCAAGCTAAATGCGGATCTCGTTTTTCACAATAACGTCCTACTACTCGTGAATCGTACCATTGGTTTTCGCGCAAAAACCTAAAAGAAGAAAACATTACTGATATGTTGAAATGATTCGTTAGTTAGTGATAGTACACTATTTTTTTCTAAATTAGGAACAAATAAGTAAATTTTCAATAAATTGACAAAACAGAAAATAAACACGATAATTGAAAGACAATTAAAATATAAAAAATCTAATTAAGAATAGCAATCACATATTAATATAAAGAAAAGAAATTATGAGTACTATCAGCCAGGCCAAAGTAGTATTACGTAGTATCAGTAATTTCTTATGCTCAAGTGTACGATGTGTTGCATACCTATTCACAAACAATTCCTATAAATTTAAATTTTCAAACAATTTTTAACACAAAGAAAGTGATTAAACAAATTGTCCATTAAAGTGAGTTTCGACCACTCCAAGCAATGGTGCTAACAGTTTCGAGCTCACAGTGAGTGATAGGGGGGGAAGAACTAGTTTCAATAAGAATTTTTTTTTAAGTAAAAAAGTTCAAAATATGTTAAATCAATTTAAATGATATAAACAGTGATTATATCGAAAAATTTCTTACCTTTCAGCATTATTGTTCGAATCAATGTAAATTTTTGCTAATGCATTGTGTGTAGCTGGTTCCACGCAGCCTTCATGTACTCTACTTTCCAACCAAGGTAGGAGAAGTTTCAATCTATTCCTTTTTTCTACTTCTTCGACCAGCTCATCGGTCGAAAATTGCCCACGCACGACCAAAATTAAGTTCTTTATGATGTCTTCAGAACAATCCACGTCCAAAAGTCCTCCCACCACCACCGGTAATCGACTTGGATTCACTTTCTGAACGTAGATCTCAATATATTTTTGCAACGAATTGCGATAGAGATAGAGAACAAGATCATGGACGAAATCGAATCGATCGCACACGATTATAAGAGGTAATTGGTCAGTGAGTTTGGCTTCTTTGAGGAAGTTTTTGACTCTTTCAGGGTTGTAACAGTTACTCTCGCGGCAAATACGTTCCACCTCTTTAATCTGACCTGTTTTGCAAGCAGCTTGGATGTATTTAAAATGAACCTCAGGGTCTTGGCTAAAATTGACGATTGAGCCCAAGAAATAGAATAAACCTGGAAGAGAAATTAACTTATACAAAACCCATTACTTTTTATTATTTAGTTTATTAGATTATAGATCAGGGATTAAAAGATGAGCTCACCTTCATAACTTTTAAATCCTTCAAAAAGATCAATGAGAGCTTTAGTGGTTAACTGTTCATGATATTTTGTCGCAATTTGTACGCAAATCTGCAAGTTCTGTCTGATGTTAGCCGTAAGCATCGCCTTTAAACACTCTAAACTGTCTTCAACACTCAACGTGCCAAAGAACCCGACCAACCAATCAGCTGACAGCAAATGAGTGTGTACCACTGCCCTTTTAATGTCGTACAAGTCGGTATAGTGTTCTAATGCCCTCTGTAAAAGGCCAGCCTTTTCACACAGTTGCGCAATGTGTGCACGATCGTAATGAGTGAACATGTTGTTGCCTAAAATAGCGTCTGCAACTTGGGGAGCGGACATCAGATTCATTTCGAGAAGACGAGTTTGTAGGTGACCCTCGTTTGGTCTGTTGTGCTTGAGGGCATCAAGTAAGAACGCGGTACACTGTTGCACGAGGTTCTGTTCCATGAAGATGTCTACAATCTGGTTGATGTCTGCAAGTGGTTCTTCGTCGGCCACAAGCATAGAAGCGAATGCTGCTCCCTGGTCCGGGTTGGTACGCATCACTTGGCGCAACAGAAAAATGTAGTCGGGAGTGTAGGACACTTTTTTCGCGTAGATTACGATTTTTTGAAACTGACCAGTTTCGGCAAAAGACTGGATCACCTACGAAGCAAGAAAAATATTTAAGCAACCGTATCTTTCTAAAATGAAGTAATGTTAACAAAGTGTATTAAAAGTGACATATAGACTGTTAATACACTGCAATACAATACACCATTTTTGTAACTTTCTAATAGGACATTAAAAATTTTCAAGCAGCATTTTAAATAAATGACATATTTAGGAATATTAGTGAAGTACTGAAGTGTTTGAAGTGTATAAAATAAATACTATTAAATTTTGTTCCATCTAACTGCAAGCCATATAGAAATTTTACTATCCAAGTAACAGTAAATTTTAGATAAGTACTAAAAAATATAACGAATTTTCAGAAAAAAATACAAAAACGCGCATCTTACCACTTAGTGATTTTAAAACATTACCTTTGCTGGAACATTTGCTCTAAGATAAACAGAGAGTGCAAGGGTTGGATCGGCCTGTTTCACCAAATCCCCAAGTTCCTCAGAACACGTCAATTTTTCTTCTTTTAACCACTTTTCTAAGAGCTGTTTGCGACCTTGCAGTAGCACAGGTTTGCACAATTCCAAAGATTCATACCTAAAAAAATTGTATGCAAAAATTAAAATTATATATTTATATTCAGAGTAATAAAAACTTACATATTCAATTGACCCTGATCTAAAAGAATTCCAAAATATTGAAGTAAGGGACTATTTTGGCCTGCTGGAGTTGGTACCTGTTGGAACATTTGAATAGTGGATGGAGTTCGTAGAATTCCTACAAAAAACAAGATATGATAGAATAGTAATTTAAGAAATATGGTAAGAAAAAATACCTTTAGGAGCATTAGCAGCAACTTTTGCTGCTTCTGCATATTGACCACTTTGAAAGAGCGTCTGAAACTTGCTAACAAACAGATCCTCAGCTCCAGCTAAATTGTTTCTGACAGCCAATCTTAAAGCTAGGTCGGCATTGTGCAAAACTGTATTCACATACTTTATTAAATTATCTTCGTCGATTGTTACGGACAATACTTGACCTCTTCGATTAACACCTAAAGTAATATAATAAATTATGAAGACATTAACCTAATTAATTCCAATTAACGAATCAAAGTTCCAAAACATACACGCCTAATAGTGGTGGAATTAGATAAATTTTGAAAGATGAGTAGAGCAATTAGTAATTCATCAGTAATTATAATGGTTATCAATACATTGCAATCAAAATTTACAAGATTGATCTGAATAATCATGTTGGAGTATAAAAGTTATTGGAGATACATTTTTGATCGTTGTTTTATTCAAGAATGTAATGAAATAAAAACAAACCTATTATTCCACCAGTAGTCTCATGGGGAGCCGTAACAAAGATGGTGTCGCTAGATATTCTATTCATATAGATACATGTCCCAGTTTCGATATCATATAAATGAATGTAACCATATTTGGTAATCAGGTAGATAACATCATATTTCGTGGACACTTGCATCGCAACTGGGAAATCGTTTTGAGCTTCTGGTGGGAAGAATACATCAACTGTCTTTTTAGGAAAAGGCTGGTTTCCTTGAGGACTTTGACCAACCTGTAACGAAATTATAAACCATTAAACAAAAACGTCAGTTTGATATTTTAAGTACATGTGCTTAAAGTCAAGGTGAACAGAAAAATAAATGCATCAAACATATTTTAATATAGATAAAGCAAATTCAAATTCAACTTCATCAACATTTTAACAGATTATTTTACTAAATAATATTTAAGTTTGTAATTTTAATGGTCCAAACATGGATTGGTTCGACTATTATTAGTATCATTCACATACTTCAATAATGTGTAATTTTCCTCCTTGTACAGTCCTTACTGCAAAGCAGAACAATGTTGATGGTTTTGGATTTCCTTCCATCTTGAATGTAGCAAACGATGCAGCATGTCCTTCAATAGGTTGTGAACACTTCCTTTCCACTGAGTAAAGCTGCATGGCTCCAACAACACGACTCTGCTGTGCACTGATGCCAACCAACAAGAGCCAATTTTGCTTTGGATCTGTTCTATAGTTGATTATTTGACAGCCATTCAACGACGAATGCCTTCAAAAAAAAAAGTTAATGTAAGATTGAAAAACATATACATGTAATAGTACTAATGCCTAATGTGAATACTTCCTAGTAAGTGACAAAATTAGTAAAGATTAAAAATCACATCACCAAATAGTGTGCAATGTACATGGGAATTTAAAGACTTTATCAATAGATATTTCTGTAGTTTTTTTTAGATATGTAGTAATTACCTATCAAACATCTTCACTGGTTGTGAATCACCTTCCATAGACCAATGATACACAGATGTTTCTGTAACTAGTGCCAATGTATTTAAGGAAATCCATTTCCAAAATATAACATCTTCATTCATTGTGTGAGCCTTCATTTTCGATTTCATTTCGATGTTAAATATTTGAAGTGATTTTTGGGCTAAACAAAAAATAAAAAAAATTAAAAAATGTAATCCTTTAAAACTGACAAGGCAATACCTTCTACTCCAGTTTTGCCCTTTAAAGCAATAACTTTAGAAGCAGGGTTCATTATTGCACTTTCTGCTGTTATGGGACGTCGAATAGGATTGGTTGGATCTGCCATATCGACAATAACGACTTGAGAAGTTTCCCCAACTTTTTCTCGGACACAGATAAATTTATCACTTTCCATTGTTAAATTGGTAAATGTTATATTTGCCAATTGAATTCCAATATTGGTGAGCTAAAAGAAGAGTATATTTAAGTAATGGCCAGAAAAAAGCATTAATCTTTTGAATTTGCAACATTTCTTTATTAATAGTTGCTTTATAAAAATTCAGCAAACATAGCAATTGAAGAAAAAATCACCAAAGTAGAGCACAAATACATGTATTTTTTATTTACATTATTTTATCACAAATTGAATCATTGAATTTAAATAAAGCATCTAAAATACTGAACAAATTAAAAGTTCTGTGTAATTTAAAATGTATATAAAATCAACCAAAGCATACAAAAATTCGTCAAAAACTTTGATTTGAGATACTACAAAAAATAAAACAAAGAATGATAAAAATAAACACATGGGTTATTGCTATTTAAAATAGACTTGAAAAAGTAAATTTGTGTACATAACAGTAATGTTATAAAAGAAACTTATTTATATTTTGATTCTTTTATCTTCAGACTAGGAAGTCAGTGTGACCACATACTGTTTTTGTGTGTACAAGGGTCATTTTAGCCCATAAACTTTAATAAATCAATAAATAAAATAATAAGTAGTCTGTTTGATAAAAGTATTACTTGTAAATTTCTACTGATCTTTATAGTAATGGCAAATAATTCAGGTTTGCTTTACTTTCAACTTAAAGCTTTCATACTAATATTTCAATCATTTATCATGTCTATGGACAGGTAGCTTCATAACGTGTCTTGTTGGAATATAAGTAGAAATTTCTTTATTTTATCTTTAAAGAGCCACATGTCTAGACTATGTAACATTTTATGACCCATATTCTGTATGTACCATTACCATTTAGTTTTGTATTTTTTTTTGTTAGCACCCTGTAGAAATTATTGATTTGTGCAAGTTTTAGTTGTATTCACAAGTAATTGACCTACTTGCTATAGTATGTAGTCAACTTTAATGAAATTATCAGCTAAAAGAATAAAAGAACATTTTTTTCATAGACATTAT